CTGCTCCTTATGTAGCCTTGATCGGACAATTGTCGTCTGGTGCCGTGTTGCTAGCCACGCTGTCCGGAGTTGTTGACTGCTGCCTAGCAACCGCCATATCCCTCGGTGACGTGACCGCTGTTGACTCACTTTGCATAGCTTCAAGGTTGCAGGGACTCGGCTAAAGTCGGCTCCTCTCAGCTCACTTCGGCTCCGCTCGTGAAGTCACCGCGCGTTGCGCGTTGCATAGCTACCAGGATGCGGGGTGATTACTCGCCTATTACGCGAGCGCTGCGTTACCGCTACGTGCAGCTGGGGAGGTAGGGGTCAACATGTCACAATATTGTGACATGTTGCGCAACGGAGAACCCCTCCCTACCCAGCAACAACGTGGCAACACAGGCCACAGTGACGTGGCGGATGAGTCAGCGCTCCCTCCCCCCTCCGCGGTGAGTAACGCCCAACGCTACGTAACCGTAACGAACTTCCAACAGCGTTGCTACGTAACAGGCACACACAGCCACTATATAAGAGAGCTGCGCTGCCTGCGAGAAGTTGTAATGTGGCCATCGCCGAGTTCAATTGTAGTCGAGTTAACTTGTAGCCGTCAACGGAGAGCGTTAAAGTGTATCACCGGCCGAAGACAGTTCTCCAGTCATCAGTGAACGAGTTCTCAAGGCAGCAGCCTACGAGTTGAGTTTGAATATAGCAGCCGGCGCGGAAAGAAGAACCGGACGTGTGTGTAGTTGTGTAATTGGGAGTATGCGATACAGGGACACTTACATAGCTCCCGTACTGTAAACGTGTAGTCTACTGACAATAGCGTGATTTGATTTGTGAATAGGGTTATAAATTGTGAAACCTCACAATATTGTTATAATTAATTGTAGCCGAGAATTGTAGGTTGTTAAATAAACCAATTAACGGTCTCTACGGCGTATTCAGTAACAAAGTACGTTACAATATTTTAACGGCAAATGCGATAATACAGGACGATATTGTGTCGTGGACGGCCCAACGCTCGGTAAACACCCCCCTCCGCGTTGACGTAACAGCACAGGAGCCACTGTCGCTGCTACGGTAACAGGCCAGTAAACACCCCCTCCCTGCGTTGAAGTAACAGCACTTCCCACAGTGACGTAACAGGTGTCACTGCCGTTATTACGTAGCAATAAACAACTCTCGGCAGCGTTCCCTAGCACCACCTGTAAATACGGCGTTTACGCAACAGTAAAGCGATGTGGGTTTTCGTCTGTCCGACTGAGGGTTTATAAAGGTGACTTGAATGCGTAAGAAGAGAGTTAAAATGTTGCAGCCGCCGGAGACAGTTAAACGGATTTGACGAGATGTAGTTGAACAGCAGCTGAGATAGAGAATTGTATAAGATTATGATTGTATAACTTTGAATTGTATAAGTGTGAAGCGAAGGAGAGTAAATATTCGCTATATCCTTGACCGACGTGAGATTATTTGTCGCGTGACATACCAAACATGTGACAATATTTTAAACGCCTTTTGTAGATATGTCCTTGTGTATTGTCTGTATTCACATATCCAGCTCAGTTCGAGCAGTGCTTAAACTTTTACACATACCGCTGTGACGATTGTTTAGAAAGCTGGATGTGAGAAGTATCTTAGAGAGAAGAAACGTTGTTCCATGTACAACAGAACGAATTGCTTCATTTAATGGCTGGAACTAATTTTCATTATGATACTTCGTAAGACTCCTGCGCCATAAGATGCAAAATTTATCGGAATATTGTGCTGTAGCTATGTCCAAGGCGATTCAAGCGCTTACCAGAATACAGATCATAATTTGTGTATTCTTTTCCAAGACAACACTATTTGCAGCATATAAGGTTGATGTCTAAGGCGACATGTGCTCTCTTCAGGTCCTGTTTATATAAAGAGAACGTGAAGTAGGTGCTCATATGTCTTGGGCAGCAAAGCGATGTGGTGTAAATAATGTTCTGTTGATAAGGAATGCCATAAATGTGATCACCATTGGCTTATTTTACAGAATGCAGCGGAATGTGAATACATATCGAAGTCTTGTTCACAGAATTAATACAGTATTTACGATGTTTCGCTGTTATAGCAAATTAATATCTCTGTCAAGCCGAAATATCGCTATAACGCTATTACGTAATGGATTCACCGATTTCGCTAATATATTTGCATTTCGCATATTTGTTTTATGGAAGGATCTGTTTCCGTTAGGGGTATAATACTTTAAATGGTTTTCTTCCCTAATATTTCAGCTTGATTGAATTAAAATTTGATAGCGTTCTATGCCATTTAATGAATAGGTGGCCATTTACTCGATGTTGATTCTCACAGGAAAGAGAAGGTGGTGTGTTCGAAACAGAAGCACTACCTGATGCAGTGACGGTATCGACAAGCTGCTCCGTGTAAAGCAAGGAGGGTGTCTGATGTAGCACTGGAAGGTCTTCGTTTTTCAGATATCGTTGCGAATTTTTAAGAAACTAGGAGAGAAATATTAACAGTTCTCTTATCATTCCTCGTGAGTTGAACAATGGAACGAAGTTCACCAATTTGTGTGCACACAAGAAGTGTGTGCTCCGCATTGAGATCCATTTACAGTCCTTAAGCAGATTGGTATTTCCTTTAGTCTCCTCATATGAAGACACAGCTGCACAAACTCAGATCGACCCCTCATTTAGTATTGACAGCAGGATATAAATGCATTACACATAAATGCAGGCAAACATTTTATTGAGCGTCTCTTGTGTATATTACATTTCTGTTGTCACTTCGAATACGCTTCGATCTGGTAGTGACAGGGAAAGTGGCGTGTCAGGTCACTGTTTCTACTTGCTGAAATATGCCAGAAGTGAAGTGAAAGCTGCGTTGTAATCAGTGGCCACCTCGTTGGAGATGTAGTTACTGCGCTCGTCCTTGTAGTTGTCGCTGCTGTCTGGGCCACCTACCAAGGCACCTGTGAGCACGTGGTAGTTGGGACTCGCGCTGTTGTACGTGTTCCAGTCACATACCGCCGGTGCGTCGGGGCACGAGCTGTAATGAAGGCATGCATGGATCTTACACTGGGTTCATATGTGGACACGGTTATGATATTAGGCTAAACACTGGACCTGTCGTATGAAGAGAACACACTCGTAGAATGGCGCGGATGTTTCGGAACAGCTAACGTGGGAAAATGTTCAGATCGAAGGGAGTTGGATTAACCAGGTATTGTACATTATTTTCCTGAATGAGGGGCTCTTCAGAGTTATCTCTTCGCCATTCTCTAGGTCTGTAATAAATGGATTCGATTTGGGGGGTTGGTTCGACGTTTGTGGTGGACTTCTCAGCTGAGGAAATCATGCAGAATGTAGTTGCGAACGTACGGAAGAAGGATGTTAGACTGGAAAGCGAAAGCTGATCAGAGTCTTATACGCTAATTAAAAGGCGCCTTGTGGAATCCAGGATGTGATAGTTCAGATGGAATGGAAATGGCGCAATATAGCTTGCATTCCGAGTTTAGTGCAATGAATTGAAGCGAATGAATTTCTACCATACAATGAAAATGTAGCCATGATAGTTGGTTTTCGGTTCGTCTCCGAAGGCAACGCGTGATTGGGAGTGGAGTTTCGACGAGTAAATGTAAGATTGTAAGTGAAACATACCTGGATCTGTGATGAGGGTGAGTGGGTGGATTATTGCCATAACCTATGACGTAGCTGCGGCCACCGTCTCCCAGTATATAGTCCAGCTGCTTCTTGGCAAACTGTCGATTACTGTCAGCATTGATGCCTAGGTCCGCAGCCTGTAATGCAGGTTCGTAGTTCAATTAGCATTCACACCGCGTGCATTTGCTCCTCAAATTTCACTGTACGAGAACAGTCGGGTATATAAACAGTCTTGTGTTTCCCTAACTGACCCGTGTGACAAATCAGCGCATCCATGTAAGGCTCATGTAGTTCATCTGATTCCTCAAGGCTCAAACACCGCAAAAATTTAGTTTCACGACCAACTGTGGCATTTATAGAGCATAGTAACTGAAGGTATTTAATTTATTTTTTGTTTACTGTTATGTATAAGGGGGCACACGTTAGTGTATTTGGTTGAGGCACTATGCCTGAAGGACTCGGGTTCGACTTCCAATGAGGTCACTTTATTTTTAAAGTGACCTAGCCATTCCAGTCTTAATCTGGCCCTGGGATCGACCCAGCCCTGCGGGGATAAAAGCTGTCAGCGCGTAAGGCCGACGACCTCATCGTCATCTCTGAGCCCATTGTCTAGAAAATGTTGGCGTCTATGTCCCACAACTCTATGGGTCTTCACGGTCTGTTACAAGGAGAGCTTTAACTATTTTACTGTTACGTGCATACTCATAGTATTTCGAAGCTAGTGGATAATTGTTGAAAAGTGCTCTACATATTCATTTGCAGAGAGATTAGCGTGTGCCTTGCGTTACTCTCTGGTATCACTGAGATATGCGCTTGTTGCTATAGTGCACAGGATAAGTCTCTTGTTCCGAGTCTCTGTATGAGGACGTTCGAGAAAGCGAATGTTTAAAATAATAATTGGTGATTACCGAAGCACAGATGAAGGCCGCATTGGCAGCCATGCGCAGGGAACCCCATTGGTCAATGTACACGAGACCCTTGGGTGTCTTCTGTTGCGAAGTCGAGATGTAGGTGCAGTAGCCTGAAACCTTGTCCTTGTAAGACTGTTTGTTTGTGATCTTCGCCAGTAGAACCTGTGGAAAATTGTACCAAGTGTTAGAAGATGGGAAATGTGTTTAAACACGTCTCCTATATGCACAGGGAGATACAAATTCTGTTTTGGAAAATGTTGCAGATATGTGAAGAGTACCAGAGTACCGATCCGTGATTAAGCGAGTTTAGCGTCAGTTACAGACGGAAATAGAAAGAGTCTTTCTGTGATTTAATGCGTTTGAAATAAGTCGTGATGTTAGTGACAGACGGACGGGGATTGTGAACCTCTCAAGTTATCTGACCTCTACACCAGAGATCTTGGAATCCCAGGTGAATCCACCGTTCCAGTTCTGGAGGCCGAATTCGTTATATAGCTGTTCAGCAGTGGTCAGGTAACTGTTGTCGTTGGTTGCCCTATACAGCCACACGGCTCCCCATACCAGTTCATCTTTGTAATCTCCAGACCTGTAAGATAGCAGGATAAATGTCAGACTAGTGGCTCTGAGAGCCCTGACTTTGAAGTATACGGCGTCTCTGGTTGCGAAATAGTGTGGTTCGGTACGCCATGTCATGATCAAAACACCTAACCCCACTGAAATTAGGAATCATCTCAGCAATTGAGTGCAACAAAATAAGTTTCAGGAAGGAAGGACATCTCACTGTGTTACAGGGTGTTTCCCTTTATGAGCCTGGTACTAGTACTGTTGTATATATCTCGATTATGTGGATTGTACAGTAACCTGTACTATTACTGTTGATGGAAAAATTAAATGTTTTTCGTTATAGAAGTGTTGTTATGAGGAATAGGAATAAGTAAACTTTTGTGTCGATGTTTTAATGTTTATATCTGGGTCGTAACTAAGAGCTCTGTTTCTGTGTAGGTAGTCTTAACTGTGTCAGGTATTTACTGCAATATCTTGAACTAAGATTGCTGTTACTGTGGGTGTTAATGCGTGAAGCATTATAAATTTGCAATTGAAGTAGATAATAGAGTACACTTACGCATAGTAACTCTGCGCATCGGTGATAGAATCACTGTATTTGCCGCGATAATTTTTGGCGAAGTCAAAAAGCTGCTTGGCATGAGTGAGCAGGGTGTTGGCGTAAGAGGAGTCACTGCTCTTGAACACGATAGAAGCTGCAGCGAGGGCAGCCGCAGTTTCAGCGGCCAGGTCAGAACCTGGAGAAATACATAATTCAGTTTGCTGTTGGATAACAAATTACAGTTATACGTGTATTGGGGCTTTCTGTACTTGGAGACGGTTCTTTGGAATAGCTTGACAGATCAACTTGTGAGGGTCAGCTGAATCTGCGAAATGTCTTTCAACCGAAGGTGTGAAATTTGAGGATGCGAGGATATGTTTCACAGGTCGCTGAGTGTCCAACGGATGAGAGATGCTTAGATGTATGAAAGACGCACCTTGATGTAAGTTTACCTGGGTGCGACGTGTCGATCTTGTAGGCGGGTCTGCTCATAGTCATGTCTTCTGGACGTCCCCAGTATGCGTGGTCTGGGCCTCCCTCACCCACTTGTCCATACAATACGTTGGCACTAACGTGGGCCTTGATGAAGTAGTCCGTTGCCCATTTAACAGCTTTGAGACCATCGCTCAAAGCGCCTGCGCAGCACAGTGGTTGATTATTATTTGCATCTTATGTGGTCATTGGGACTGAAATGTGGTTGTGTGCAATGTGAAGGAACGATCCCGTATTGTGCTGCTGTGTAATGAGTGTCTCAGTACATGTGTAACTTTACGTGCTTCATATGAAACGATGTTCGCACCTTCACTTTTTAAAATCTTATCCTCGCATATTCTTCTGAATAATAACACGCGCTCTATTCTAGGTCCCTCCGTAACTCCCTTGGATTTTGTACTAGATCTTTTAGTTCTTCATTGTTGTACTCTATTGCAAAGAAAATAAGTCTGTGTTTCGTCCATACCCTGAAATGTTATGCGGTTTGCTCCATTTTTTTCCCTGTGTTTATTCACAATATAGTTTATTTTATAACCTGCCTTAGGTCATAATTAATTTTAATTGCAATTATATGATGTAGGTTCAAAATATTAAAATGTAAATACGATGGAAGTGTAGCTATATTACACATATGTTGCACCCGGAAACACAGTCTAAAAACAATGACGGAAATGAAATCTAGCCGTGCATGCCTTTTCCATAATTTTATGGAATTGTTTGATTCATGTCGACATGCAAGTTCTCTTATTGTTGTGGTTTATATTTAAATTTCATATTTTGATAATCCAAGTATGCTATTCACAATGGTTAAGGGAAGTGATGCCACTGTAAAATTTGGAATGATTAGTGGAGATATGTCTGAGAGTAAATGTTACATTCCAATTCTACATACCGTTATGTGATCAGCTCTTTGTGATAAGATTTTATGGTTCTCAAGGTCCCCTGCTCTTTGTCGGTGCAGTAACCCGAGATTATCGTCACCGTGATATACGCACCTGCTGCACTGTATCCTGCCTGATTGTCCACAAGTCCCCAAGCCAGCACGGTGGCAGTGTAGGCCATTGGGAAGCCGAACTTGACGTAGTCTCCAGCTGCAAAATTGAATAGTAAATTCTGAACATCTAAGACTGGATCGGACCACGGGAATATTATCGCCTGAATGTCAGTATTTCTTTAAAATATGGCGAGTTTGACAGTTTGACGTACGTGTTGTATCATGATCTGTACAATTATCTTCATCGAAATGGGAAGTATAAATGTACGGAAATGGCTGCAGAACGTTAGAGAATAAATCTTTGGTTCCTAGGTCCCCCGCCGTATTGTTGAAACACGCAGCTACACTTGTATTACTTTTTCTTTGTGAAATGATATCGTCCCGCGTGTGAACTCACTCCTATACTTTTTTTTATTATTTGTTATAATTTGACTAGTTTGTGAACCGTTGCTAATAATTCTTTGAGTTTTTAGTCCTTTTTTTGTGATTTTGTTAAAGGTATTATGAAATGTCCAAGGTTCTGAAGCGTCAAATGACAGGTTGTGCGAGAATCAGTGAATTTCAAATGGATGTGCGAGAAAGGTACTGTGGTACTACGTAAATCCTCAGTCCGGATATCCGGTGCCCCGGTAGAAATTTCTGTGCTTGCGTGTTACATGCAAGTAAATTTTTAATTTAAATCTCTTGTGTAGCAGCGACACTTATACGTACAAGCGTATTTTAGTGAACCACAGTTGACTGTCTGAAGAGATGTTCGATAAGCAAAACACATTTCCTATGATGGAATATCGTTCTTGCCTCCTTGGTACATGAATTACTCATGCCTTCTTATTCATATGAAGATTCCTGTGGTATTTTCGACCACACATTTTCTATTCCCTTAAGTCCTTTATACAGCAATGCGCTGTACTAGGTAATTTTTCGTTGCTCTTAGGGGGTGCGAAAAATTCTCTTCTCTGTTTTATTTTTGTTCTGATGTGCGCTACTTTGTTTTCTTTATTTCATTGCACTAACCACCAAGCTGACTCAACCTGTAAAATTTCTTTCTAAAGCACTGAATAATGTCTGAAATCTGGATGCTTTGGACAGTGAAGTACAGTTAATTTGTTAGTTCAGGAGCTCTTGGGGATGTGGTAGTGCATTTGTGTTAGAACTTACCGTCATAGTATCCTCCTGTCAAGTCCTCGCCATTTTGTCCTTTGTCGTTGAGGGCTGAATCTTTCCTCCACGTGACCTTCTGATCGGCGGGCAATTTTCCCGATCGTTGTGCCTCGTAGAAGAGTAGCGAATCGCGCAGGACTTCCTTGTAGTCGTAAGCTGCAACACAGTGACAAATTCCGCCGTTACTTTTCCCCCGCTTGATACCAAGCGGACATAAGTTCCATAAATGTTGCTTTAGAACTTCTTCTGACTTGGCTTTTACGTCAGTATTAACACGGTTGTTTTCCTTGTAATATTTCAATCGTTTAATCGCTTTGGAAGCTTCAAATAATACGTTTGTGAGTTAGAATTTGAAGAGTAAATTTTCACCCAGTGGTCCTTTTGGTGTGAAAAGTAAAGGTATCCCTGTAGCAGGTCGTGAAGGCCCATAGAGTTGTGAGACGTTGAGGCTCCCACATTTGTTAGTAAATCGGCTCAAAGATGGCGGTATGTTTGTCAGCCTTACGCGCCGGCCGCGCATTACTCCCAAGGAAAATTATTTATTTAATTTCTGGTACTGATTTCTGTTAGAGGCTGAGTCGACCCGAGGGCCATAGCGCGGCTGGAATAATTAGGTCAATTGAGAAAAATCCAGTAACCTCCTCGGGACTTGAACCCGCGATCTTCCGTCTTATAGCATAGCCCCTCAACCAACTAGTTCTTGTTCATAATATTGTATACGTGTTTTGTGTACAGTTGGATTCCGTAACATTGTTATTAGCAGACTGCAGTGCCCCTACTTTCATTGTTTCTATCTTACCTGTTTATTTCTTTCAGCTGTTCGTGTTTTCTTCATGAACTGAACAAAGAATATTTTCAACTTGTAAGCTTTGTCTATAATGCAGATCGGTACTGGTTTTTGACGTGTTATCGAGTTACATTTTACCCACGAATATTATACGTTCTCGCTTTGGTTTCATCTACCAATAGGGATCATCCGGCCGGGTGTAGCCTGTGCAGAAGATATTTAGAATAATGGAAGTATCTCGGTTATAATAAAGCAAATGTATATATCGGAATCCTGTCTATGTGGTGCTTTTCAATTGAAATGTTAGTATCATTATTACATTAAAACCGTCTAGAACTGAAATATCCGGATGTCGCCAACTCCCACTCCTGCCCGTCTGTGTTATCAGACAACTCTTCAGTGAGTGCATCTATTGGCAGAGTACTAATTAATTGTAGAGTCATCTGAATAGATCCGAATAGACCTTAACCCTGTAACCGCTTCATGCAAATGTAAGTTAACCTCCGTGTACGGTAAGCCTAGCAGTGCTGTTCGTTTGATTACCTTGACAGAGCGCAAGCGCAGCCAGAATGCAAACGAAGACCCTCATTGTTGCTGGCCCTGGCTGTTCACCGAAGAGTGATTAGCGTCGGAGTATCGCTTCATATTTATATCATCAGCACACGTCATACTGAACTATACGAATGTCACCTTTTGTGTCAGAACATATTTGTAATACTGAACACCTGGACTTTCGTCATTGGAAAGGCACGATTTGGGTATAATTTGTTTATAACCGTCGATAAAACATTGCATTCTGTTTGCAGAGGGATTCTCTGCGTCAGACACATAAATTTTGTCACAATCTAGAATAGTCAGTTCTCAAGAATTAAAACGATTGTTTGTTGCATGTTCTTGGGTGCAATGACGGATATTCCTATGGTCTTATTCACCCGTTTGTTATCATACTTCTATATGCATGCAGCGTTAATTTAATTTGTATATCATCATCATAATCATCATTCGAGGTATGTTTGATTACCTTTTAATTACAGCATATAAAGATGGAATTAATAATAATGCTGGAATTAAAGTCCCTAACAACATTCCCTAATGACCCGCTTTATATAAGGAATTGCGTACTGCAAGAAAAAGTGTATTGCACGCCTGTGTAACATCTAGGTATCTGGTAAACATATACCGTTTCGCACATAGGTGTAGGGGAGCCGGGATAGCGCAGTCGGTGTGGTGAGTGGCTACAGGCTGGACGACCGAGGGATCGGAGTCCCAAGTCCGGGGGGGGGGGGCAAGAATTTTCTCTTCTCCAAGTCTTCCAGACTAGTTCTGGGGTCCACCAAAATCCTGAGCAGTATCGAAAAATGTTAACATCTAGCAATTTTTCTCCAATTTAATACGTTAAGTATTGATAGGTCGATAATTACTAATCAGAAAAGATTTCTTCTTCAATTCGAAATCAAATTCCAGCTTTTACTGGAAATATACTTACTCACTTCTTCTTGTAGTCATTTAAGGTTTGCGCTTCCATTCAGACAACACTGACTGGCGTGACAGTTGTGTTATTTTCACGGATTTATTTGATAAGAATGTTCATTATGGCTTCCTTTTTTTTCTTTGTCGCTACAGTCCCAATTTTGGTCTTGGCCTAACTCCATGAAACTCTCCGTTTTACTTCGGTTTACTAGATCTTAGACATTCGGTAGGACTCCTTGGGCGGGTGATCAGCTCGTCGAAAGAACTCAACCTGTACACAAACACAAAAAAAACGCAAATATAAACACGAAACATCCATGCACGGATTTGGTTTCGAATCCACGATCCCGTCTTCCAGGCCAGCAAAGACAGTGCATGCCTTAGGTAGAGAGGAAGCTGAATCTTGTGAATTCGAATTGTAATTCAAAACTGCACACGCACGCGTACTGTACAGTATATCGATCAGAGAGGAGTCGTATTCGTGGGCAATGGTAGTAGTTTTCCACAATTCTTTGTGTACACCAATATTACGTAATAGAAGCTGACAGAGTAATATCGATTTTCTCTAACGTAGAGGTTTTTTATATAATACTTCAGAATGTACGTAATCAGATACGTATATGAATGTATACCTGCAATTACAACCCCAAGAATTATTCTGTGATGATCATCTTCATGATCCATGGACGAAGATTATTCAGGTGTCAAATTAATCGGAGGATGCTTACATTTTGGTATGAAAAATAAGTGTTACGAGATCTTGTGGTTTGTATATTTGTCTCAATGAACTGCAGTCTAAAGATTATAGGGCCAAATATTCCGATCGCTTTGATCTGTGATCAAATACCAAAATGCTCCTGATTTAAAAATTATTGTAGCGTGTCTGCTGAAAGCCGGAATGGTTTAATAAGCAGGGACAACCGTTGAGAGGCAATAGCTCTGAGAACACATTTCCACGGCCCTCAGGTCACGTGACCACTCCCGTGCTTACTCGCAACAGAGGAACACGTCCCGTCCGCGTCTGTCGTGACGCCACGCAACAATAGGACAGCTGCGGAAAGCGGTGTTGCTACGCGGTTCCAGGCAGACAGTGCCGTTGCAATCAAACACATGTTACCACGCCACCAACAACAGAGCAACGGTCCTCTGATACACCATATCGAAGGGACTGTAGCCAATGCCTTGCTCACATACGAAAGGACCTATTCTATATCCAAAAATGGGCGTTCATGTATAAATATTAAACTTGACGCTTTATAGAGCTCTGATTAGGCCAGTTATGACTTATGTCTGTCCCTCCTAAGAGCATGCAGTGGACGTTCATCCCTTGAAACTGCAGCGCCTGCAGAACAGAGTACTCCGTGCTATTGGAAATTTTGGCATGTGCACACCAGTCTGCGAATTGCACGTGACTTTCAGAATTACTTACGTTTATGACTATATAACTAAAATATACTGGACACAGGCATAAGTAATCCTAAACCATGTAAATCCAAAGGTACGTGGTACTGGACAAGGAGAAGCCAAGCATAAAAAGTAAAAATGACTTAAACTTAGCGGCGGTCAGGCGTGTGACCTTTCGGATGACCAGCTGCAGTTTCAGAGCAGTTACATGTAAGTTAAGGCATAACCTGCTGCACAAGCCTGCACTGACAGGAAACCTTTGTATGCCTTATATAAATGTTAACATTGTATACTGCAGTGACGAAGGATGCAGAGAGTCCACATAGACCTGGACGCCGTGACAGCACGGAAATACTCGTGCTGAAACTGCGTTACAACAAGCGTAGCGCCTACCCCTTTGTCGAAGAGGAACCCAATTTCGAAACATATAAGTGTCTAGGAGAGAACAAAAATCTTGGTCATGGATCTCGAGGCGACTGAAGAAAAGAGTGACTGTACTGGCGAAGACCAGCAGCAATTTAACTGAGTTAGTTGTGAGATAATCGACTGTCAGCTAGAACGTGAAACCGTGGAACACGAAAGCTGAGGGAGCCACGTCATTGGAGGCCGTTACCAGACAACCGGTGTAGACACAGCAAACTAAAAAGATTTATTTCGCGCTGTAGTGAATTTCAAAGCGTGTGAATTAGCGATAGCGCTATGGTTACATGTAATTACGACGTATAAGTGTTCAAGAAATCCGATTACCAATCCACACCCCCCTCTGTAGTCAGTCCATCACGTGACAATATTTCACCAACTGCATGTAAGTATGGTGTGCTTTACACCTTGTGGCTCTATAAAGGGCTACATTAGTTGAAGTCGCTTATATAAATCTGTAAATGACGGATAGCAGCAGGCAGTGGATTAAAACAAGTCAAACAAAAATTTATTTCCGATATGTCTCTGATTTGTTTTGGGAGTATACAAATTTAATATATTGTAACATGTTGCGCGACTGAGAACCCCCCTCCTCTCCACGGTAACGTAGCGCTCCCCGCCACTCCCCTCCGCGGTGATGTCACGCGGTGACGTAACGCGCAACGCTAACGTAACCGTAATCAACGTCCTACTGTGACGTGGCACTCATTACGCCACAGGCAAGCACTGCAGCTATATAAGTGGATGCACAGTGCGTATCGATCAGTTCGAGTTCGAGTTCCAGTGTGGCTACCGCCGAAGACATTCCGAGTTATAAAGTAACAGCCAGC